TAAGTTACCGCCCTCTTCCTACATGTCGTTGTGGTGTTTTGAACACCTGTGGTTGTGATATTCTGAAGAACCTTGCTGATCGCCAACAAGCAGACTATGTGATGAAATTTTTGATTGGATTACATGACTCTTACTCAGCCTTACGAAGCCAATTACTGCTGTCTTCTCCACTACCTTCCATGAGCAAGGTGTTTTCCTTACTATTACAGGAAGAAAGCCAACGATCATTAACCAATGCAGTTGGAATTCCTTACGACTCACATGCCATGGCTGCTGGGCAACACTGCAGGTCTTCCAACAGCTTCAAATTCGCCAAATTCAAGGGAAGATCTGATGTTATCTGTTCACACTGTGGATATTCTGGCCACCTTGCTGAGAAGTGCTTCCAAGTCATTGGCTACCCGCCAGGATGGAGTAATTTCATCAGAGACAATAACATATACAATGTGCATACCTGTGTTAAGTCTATAGTGCAGATAATAGGGGCTTGAAGGATCTGTGATCATTCGCTGAGTTGCAGCAATTAGATCTTCACCTTGATTCGCATTCGGCAAATCGTTCTCAATCGAACATTCGATTTCATTCTCTGAATTGGTAGCCATGGATGGTACCTAATTGCAGAGAATATGCTCTGCATGTTTAGAGGAAGAGAATGCATGTGAAAGAAGTTTTCTTATTGTAATTGAAGACTTTTACAAGAGTATATATATACACAATCACTTGCAAGCTAATTGCCAGCTGTATTTTGACAGCTTAACATCTCTAACAACTTTAACTAACTCCTAACTAAGGCTTGGCTGTTGGAATATACAATCCCACATTGAGTCTTTGGAATTAAAGGCCCACCCAAGAAGCTAAGGAAAGAAACCGTGTAAATGCCAAGAAAGAGGAAGCTGAGCTGGAAGAAGTGAAGCAGAATTAGTTTAGCTCATTTTGTTTGTAAATACACGTCTTCATTTTTATTGTTTTTAGTTGGTTAGTTTGTTACAACAGATTCTTTACTTTTCCTTACTTAAATCATTGAACGAAGTATTGTAAATGAAGGGAGTCTTCTTCGATTAGATATGAAATAAAATGCTTCCAGATTTAGTCGAATTCTTCATTCTTGCATTTCGATTAAAGGGATTTAACATGGCTAAGTAAATAAATATATCAGCTTCCATGCACCGCAAGCGAAGATCCTTCTCATTTAGAATTATAAAGACTCACTATTTCAAAAGGAAACTAAAAGAAATCTTCCAATAAGAGGTTACAGATGACCCGAGAAGACGAAGAGAAGAAGACCCAAAGAGTTCTAGAAAATCCTTGAAAATTAGATTCGTAAATAATGAATTGGGCAACAGTTGAATGTGCCATATGTACCCTCAGTACGGATAATTATATCAAATGATGATCAATAGTCAGAACAACTAACAACTTATCAAATTTTAGAGGCAACAAGAATAAGTAAGTTGCACGTCTAAAGTGAGACTTAATCCAATTTATTGGGTTGGATTTGGGCCTCTCTAATTTGAATTATCCGGCAATGGTAAATAGTTAGGCTAATTCCAATTTCACCCTAGCTCAGTAGAGACTGCAAACATGGCATCACAGCCCAACAAATATCCACCTTCATACCAATTGTATTACAAAACATATCTCTATATAGAAAGTTAATCTAAGAAATTATCAACCACTTGTATCACCAATTAGCATCAAAGAATATGTGCCTACTACATAAGATTAAACAATATCATTTAGTATTTTTAAACAATATTTAAACTTGTTTAAAAGCACTACCTTAGATCCCATATTAGAAGGGTCGTGTTAAGTGCAATTTTTTCTAGAGATAAAAATTCCTCAGCAATTATATCATCAATGTGCTTAATTCCTCATCAAAAGGAGGGGAGGGGGGGGGTGTGTTCACATAAATGAATAGCACTCTAACTATCAAAATACACTACAATAGAATTAGAAAGTTCATTAATTTTAGATAACAAACCTTTTAACCATAAGGTTTCTTTTATAGTCTCAATTGTAGCAACATATTCAACATTTCAATTGCATATTTCATCGACTTTTATATAAATCTACTAACAATAAGATTTTAATTTGAAAATTATAATAAAATATAATTTTACCAGCTCACGCAATTAACACTAGACGACAAATGTGCTTAGCAGAACAAACCATATCCACTAAACGCCTTAGCACGAGAACTTAATTTATAATATTCCATTGAATAGATGCCTATTTTCTTAGTATAAAACATGGTAGGGTGAGTGGACTCACTAGAAAGTGATGTTATTCTAATGATGACTTGATTCGTGACATTCTCAACTTTCAAACGTGTCCAAAACCTTGTCTTGTGAATTATGCCAACTTTGGTAGAGGAATTTTCGAAATGATTTTGGGAAGCTCTAGATGAAAAATATAAACTTTTTTTTTTTTTTTTAACTTTTTAAAGATGGCTTTCCTCTTGTTTAAAGTTTCGTAAATTTTTTTACTTTACCCTTGTAAAAGTTGTATTGGTTCAAGTCTTTTTGTTGATTTTATCTTGAATGGGCGTAATATAGAGTTGCTCAACCTAGTACTTAACAAGTTTGATACAAATCTTTCAAAATCATCTCACATTCTAGTATATACAAAAATGCATTTAAAAACAAAATCATCTTTAAGCATTATGAAAATTCTATTTCGTATTTTAAAAAAATGAAATAAAAAAGGTTAAAAGCAATAGGCCATTTGTAGAAATATTTTGAAAGAGTCAAAATCAATCCCCAGGTTCACACGAATCCCAATTCAGATTAAACCAAATCCCAACTAGTGACCATCAACATGTTAATCGAAAAACACATAGGTTATGGAGAAAATGTTAAATGTTATAATCTATGGGTTAAAACTGAAAAATGCTATAAGGTGATTGTCTGAAGAGATGTCATTTTTAATGAATTTATTAGGCCATGTTTAGAAGGAAAGTAAAATAACTTGACAGAGACAGATGTTCAAATTGAGGTGGAGTCTCCTCAAAATGAAAGAGAAACTCCTATATCTGCTCTTGATGAATCTGATCTTGATGAAAATGATATTTCAACTTAAAATGGAAACAATCAAGAAACTAATGTTAATAACCAATCTGATCGAGCAACTCTCCGGCCCTCTTGATGACTATATCAACTCATAAGCGATAGGAAGAGAAGGCATATCAGGCTTCTCTGCTAAGTTTGATTGTGATGATTTTGTTTCATTATTTACTTTTTAAGATCGATTTGAAAATGAGCCTAACTCATATGATGATGATAAACTACAAAAATGCTAAAAATTGGAGAGATGTCATGGAAGATGAAATATCTTCAATTCTTAAAAATAAAACATGGTTTATTAGATGTTGGTTTTATTAAAGGAGATTCTGAAAATGCTGTTTGTTTATTAAAGAAATCCCTCTATAGGTTAAAACAAGCCACAAGGCAATGGTATAAAATGTTTGACACCTTTGTTTTGAAACATGGTTTTCAAAGAAGCAATTATGATGAGTGCCTCTACTATAAAGGTAAAAGAAGTAAAAACTCTATGTATTTAGTGTTTTATTTTGATGATATGTTACTTGCTAGTTGTAATAAGTCTGAAATTGATGATGTCAAACAAAAATTGAAATAAGAATTTGATATGAAGGATCTTGGTTCTACCAAAAAGATCATTCGCATACAGATTCTAAGAAACAAAGAAAAAGATATTTTATTTTTGAATCAACATGATTATGTGGTTAACATTTTGTAAAAGTTATCTGTAAAATTGTTACATTACCTCTTTCAAACCAATTTAAACTTATAGTTGTAGTTTTCAGTAGGCGCTTTTAAGTTTCTTGAGTGATTCATCGTAGATCTGATGTTTATTGTTGAAAAGATAAGTATTTTGTACTTTTCTCGTGTTGGAAGAAACAATTTGTAATCGTGTTACCATTTAGGGATATATAGTGCAAACAAGCAAATATCCAATTTATTGGATGCTCAACGGAAGATGTAGAAGTTAGATGTGGTTGTCGAATCTCCGAGAGTTAGGCCCCAATTATAGTTACTTGAAGTACCACTTTTTTGGACGGTGCTAATCCATTAAGATAAGCAGGAATAAATAGCCGTCCACTAAAGCTGGAATAATTTAAACTTTGTAAGATAATAAATTGACTCAAAAATAAATTTTTTATCTAACAAAATTATTGGTACTTCGAAAACTTTGATAGGAACTGCACTTTATCACGTGTTTATTGCGGACTACAACTAAGAATTAAATTTTTTGCGGAAATCAATTTAAAAGTACCATAAATGTAGGCTTTTAAAAAAAATTATAAGTGCTACGAGTTCAAATTAATTGTAATGTTTCTACGTATCTTGGCCTTACTCAGAAATAACATTTTTAGGCATATTTGTGTAATGCTAGGTGGTGTCTTCTGTTTCGTCTTGATGAAACCTATCCCTAGTCTATAAATAGAGATAGATATCGCTATATCTCCCTGTGTGAGCCAAAATATATCTTACAGCAGCTAACATCTTAACAATATTATGCATAATTTTAGAGCATGCGTACCTGTAATCCCTAAATCGGAGCCAATTATTCTCACAGAACAGCAGCTGCTTGCCCTTTTCCGACGCCATGACAAAAATAGTGACGGCTGTCTTGACAAACAAGAATTGAAACTCGCCTTCAAGGAGCTCGGTGCCTACTTCCCCAACTGGAGAGCTTCCAAGGCTCTCCACAAGGCTGATATTGACAGAGATGGATACATCACTGATGGTGAGATGAATGCCCTCGTCAAATATGTTTCTCAATTTAACTATAAAATCAAGTAGAGTTGTATGATATACTATAGTGTTCGATAAAGTTTGCCCCAAACTCCACTTTATTCCACTGTACAATTAAATATTGCATACCAAACATGTTTGGTATACATGTTTGTGTTTATGTATGTTAGGTACTTGTAACTGTAATCTCCAGGCTGCTAGCAACTTACGATCATGAATATAAATAAGGGCTAACTTCCTGGCGTGCTACTAAGTTTTTGTTACCTCTCTTGGTCTTCAAAAAAACAAAAAGTGTCTTATGTCCCATCACCAAGAATTATTGGAGATCATGTTCAGTAAAATATCACAATTTCTTGTCATATGATATCCACGCCACTATTTCAGTATTACAATTTCCATTCAGCACTCGCGTTTCTTCGCCTTCCTTTAAAAAGAAAAATTCTTCAGCTTTCTCCTTTTCATTTTGACACCAGCAATAAGAATTTTGCTTTGTTCTCCCGTTTGATACTTTTCCTTTGTTGTGTCTCATTTCCAGCTTTCGTTATAGTCATTCTTGTGCATGCTAGAAAGTATCATGTTAACTATTACACAGTTTATTTTATCAAGTCTTTAGACACTCTTCAACAGTAATGACAACACGATCAATTTGGAGGAAGACTCCTATTTTAGAATGAAATTCCTAAAATTTTGGGCTTTATATAAATTTCAGGAACGTTAAAACATTAAAAAAAAAAACAGTATAATTTTTTACTCTGATTATTTATGGATTTGGGGAAGAGAACTTTGAATAAAAGGTAGATGAAGCAGCCCTTAATCTTGTTTGGGCTTGCTTTGTACAAGGTTTACTTTTATGATTTCGATTTTGCTTGATTTGGAGTGTGTAGGTTTGGGATTCTTGAGCGGCTAAATCATTTCCTTTTTAGAACATAATTAATACGATTATAATAACTGAAATTATAGTTTTGTAATTTAACCCATGTTTATAATAATTCTTTAAAAAACCCCAAAATTAAAGGTATTTTTGTAAATTCTCCATGGTTCATCGGGGGTATTGGAGCCCATTCAAAATAAATGAAGTCCATAGTCCATTCTACTCAATAGAAATGGAGATAATGACACACACAGCACTAAAGCGAACTAAAAGCCAGTAGAACAAAAATATATGAAGCGACGGAAATCTAACTTAATGTAATTAATATTTCAAAAGTTGTTGATTCAATACATAAATATTATGAATTCAGGTATTTTGAAAATAATAAAATTCAAAGAATTTTTTGTTTCTTTCTGTATTTTTGTTTCTCTACTATGAGAAGCTCTCATATGGCTACCATTCTGTCTTGTAGAATTATCTTGCGTAAATATCACATAGTATATGTCACTTCCTTGACGCCCCCCTTTTTCAGCAATCAAGCAGTATGGCCCCTGTTTGGTATGGCTTCATATTTGGATTAAAATTTCTGTCAAAGTCAACAATTAATTTTAACCATATATTCATAACTTTTTAACCTCACATTTCATCAATTTTTATACAAATCTATTAAAAATATGATTTTAATATACACCAAACAAAGAATAATGTTCAAATTCTAATAAAATTTAATTTCACCGGTTTACGGAGTTAACACTAAACGACATATGTGCTTAGCAGAACAAACAATATCCACTAGTTACCTTGGCATAACAAATTACTTTCTATAATTCGATTGAATAGATGCCTATTTTCTTTAGTGTAAAGCATGGTAGAGTGAGCAGACTCGCCAGAAAGTGATGTAATTGTAATGACGAATTTATTCATGACGTTCTCAACTTTCCAATGGATCACAAACCCTATCTTGTGAAATATTATACCAACTTTGGCAAAGGAATTTTGAAAATGCCTTTTTGAAGCTCTAGATGAAAAATATCTTTTTAATTTTACTATTATTATTATTATTATTTGTCAAGATAGCTTTCCTCTAGTTTAAAAATTCGAAAATTTTTCACTTTACCCTTGTAAAAGTAGTATTGGGTCAAGTCTAATCGTTGTTTTCAAATCTTTCAAAATCATCTCAGTTGGTGTTTAATACAAATCTTAAGCATCACTAATTAATATGACATAAAATTCGTTGGGCTACGCAGCAATATTACTCTATAAAATATGCTGCATGGGGCCATAGAGAGGCACTTGGATAATTTCTTTCCAAGAAAGCTACAGAGAAGAAATGTTCAAATCCATTAAGATAAGCAAGAACAAATAGCCATCCACAAAAGCTGGAATAATGTAAACTTTGTAAGAGAAGATATTGACTCAAAAAGATTTTTTTTTTTTCCCTAATAAAGTTATTAGTACTTCAAAAACTTTGATTAGGAACTGCACTTTATCATGTGCTTATTGCGGACTACAGCTAAGAATTAACTTAATTGTAGAGATCAATTAAAAAGCAGCTGAAATGTAGGCTTTAACCCTTAAAAAAAAAATTTACTAAGAGTTTAAATTAATTTTAAATAGGATTTAAAACAAAAAAAAAACATCTCTCCCATTTCCGTAACCTCCACCGTTACCTGGTGACAAGGAATTGTCGTCTGTGGCCAGAGATCGTGAAAGAGCTTCGGGACTTGGGAAATGAATCCATAAAAAAAACTTATAATTATGTTTCCACATATCTCAGTCTTAATTAGAAATAATGTTTTTAGACTTATTTATAGCCACAGTTTATAAATAGAGATGGACCTCACTATATCTCCCAGGGTAAGCCGAAATATATCTTAAAGCAGCTACTTTGTGCCACATCTCAACCATATGCATATTTTGGAAAATGGCAAACCTAAGCTTTTCACAGGACAGAAGCTGCTTGCCCTTATCCAATGCCATGACAAAAATGGCGACGGCTGTCTTGACATACAAGAATTGAAACTCGCCTTCAAGGAGCTCGGTGCCTTCTTCCCCAACTGGAGAGCTTTCTGGGCTCTCAGCAATGCCAATATTGATGAAGATGGATATGTTAGGTATTTAATGTAATTGGTAAGTCTGTGAACAAAGGGGGCTTAAATTAACACGTTGTAAAAGTCAAGGAGTTATGTGCAAATAATGGAAATTGAGGTATTTTAGGTCTAACAATCGTGAATGGAAAAGAAGGAAAAACGGCGCCACAATTTCGCTAGACTGTCGCATAGGACTTGGCTCGAGAGTCACTTTCGCTAGCCTGTCGCCTTGCCTTCGCTCAAGCGACAACCTGTCGCTCGACTATCGCTCATCCCTCGCTCGAGCAACATTGTTATTCGAGAATTTTTTAATTCATTTTTCGAAGGCTTTTTATCCGACTCATTCATTCCTTAACTTAACATATAAATACCAAACACTACAAAACGGTTTTATTAAGGTTGATCATTGAGCAAACACTTAGTTTTTCATATTATCTTCATCAATTACTCTTCAACCTTCGTTATTCACATAGTGATCACTACAAAACGGTTTTTTTAAGGTTGATCATTGAGCAAACACTTAGTTTTTCATATTATCTTCATCAATTACTCTTCAACCTTCGTTATTCACATAGTGATCTATTCTTAGTGGTGAGAAAAACATCAATTTCATAATCCAAACACCAAACTGCTGCTTCCTTCATATCTATCAGAGTTTCTAAAGATCAAGGAAAGGTGACTGGAGTTCCAGTCACTGAAGAACGCGGTGTTCTTCGTGAATCCATGGGAGATAGACGATTCCACAAAGTTGGGAGTTGCTATAGGAGCGCAATCCAGGAGAGCTGTTGGAATTGCAGTCAGTAGATCAGATAGTAGGTATCGTTGTCTATTCTGGTAGGCTGTAAATTATAAATCATTTATAGTAAATTGTTGACTAGGAAAGTGCCAAGAGTTTTTACCCAGTCCGTGATCATACAGTGGGTTATTTATTGCTTTATTTACTATTTTTATATTCTGTAGTATTCTAACATAGGATAATTCAACTCATTGCATAAGCATCTAGACATAATCAATTAGTGATTCGTTGTTGATTAATTAAAATTTATTAATTTCGCATTTATACCTATTCACCCCCATCTAGGTGTGGTTTGGGTCGAACTTCGTATTTTCAATTGGTATCAAAGCCTTATCTCGTTTCCCGACCCTTAATTAATTCTAGATGAGTTAATCATTGTTTGTGCCTCCATTTTTTACGGAAGCAACTATGCTTATTGAAAAGTTCGAATGAGAGTCTTTCAAAGTTTTGGATGAACGTTTTTGGATTAGCATTCAAATTGGGTGGACTCCACCTTTAACTACTGTTACTGGTGTAGTTACACCCACTGATATCTCACTTTGGACTAAAGATGATCTAGCTGGGTGTAACTGGAACAGCAAGGGCATTCATGCCCTGTTCATGGATGTGTATGCTGAAGAGCTTAGGAGAGTTTTGATGTGTGCGACTGTTAAAGAAGTTTGAGATATCTTAGAAACCACACACGATGGACTAAAACTATTAACAATTACAAACTACGGATTTTATCCTTTAGATTTGAATAAATTAGAATGAATGATGATGAATCTTCGATGAATTCTATGCGAATCTAAAATAGTTAATTCGAGTTTTAACCTAGGTGAAAAGATTCCTGAGTCCAAGATCGTTAGAAAAGTCCTTAGATCTCTACATGAAAGGTTTAGACCTAAAGTCACTGCTATTGAAGAAAGTAAGGACTTAGATGTAGTTAAGATAGAAGAACTCCTATGATCCCTTCAAACCTATGAACTCACCCTTTCTCAACCTAAAAAGGTTAAATCCATAGTCATGAACACTGTTAGAGAAGAAGAGAGCGAGTCTACTGATGCTGAGATGCTTAGGGACGACGAAATAGCTTATATCTTGGTGGTGAGAAAAACATCAATTTCATAATCCAAACACCAAACTGCTGCTTCCTTCATATCTGTCAGAGTTTCTAAAGATCAAGAAAAGGTGACTGGAGTTCCAGTCACTGAAGAACGCGGTGTTCTTCGTGAATCCATGGGAAATAGACGATTTCACAAAGTTGGGAGTTGCTATAGGAGCGCAATCCAGGAGAGCTGTTGGTATTGCAGTCAGTAGATCAGATAGTAGGTATCGTCGTCTATTCTGGTATACTGTAAATTATAAATCGTTTATAGTAAATTGTTGACTAGGAAAGTACCAAGAGTTTCTACCCAGACCGTGATCATACAGTGGGTTATTTATTGCTTTATTTACTATTTTTATATTCTGTAGTATTCTAACATAGGATAATTCAACTCATTGCATAATCATCTAAAGATAATCAATTAGTGATTTGTTGCTGATTAATTAAAATTTATTAATTTCGCATTTATACCTATTCACCCCCATCTATGTGTAGTTTGGGTCGAACTTCGTACTTTCAATTGGTATTAAAGCCTTATCTCGTTTCCCGACCCTTAATTAATTCTAGATGAGTCAGTCATTGTCTGTGCCTCCATTTTTTACGAAAGTAACTATGCTTATTGAAAAGTTCGAATGAGAGTCTTTCAAAGTTTTGGATGAACGTTTTTGGATTAGCATTCAAATTGGGTGGACTCCACCTTCAACTACTGTTGCTGGTATAGTTACAGCCACTGATATCTCACTTTGGACTAAAGATGATCTAGCTGAGTGTAACTGGAACAATAAGGGCATTCATGCCCTGTTCATGGCTGTGTATGCTGAAGAGTTTAGGAGAGTTTCGATGTGTGCGACTGTTAAAGAAGTTTGGGATATCTTAGAAATCACACACGATGGAACTAAAACTGTTAACAATTCCAAACTACAGATTTTATTCTTTAGGTTTGAAGAAATTAGAATGAATGATGATGAATCTTCGATGAATTCTATGCGAATCTGAAATAGTTAATTTGAGTTTTAACCTAGGTGAAAAGATTCCTGAGTCCAAGATCGTTAAAAAAGTCCTTAGATCTCTATCTGAAAGGTTTAGACCTAAAGTCACTGCTATTGAAGAAAGTAAGGACTTAGATGTAGTTAAGATAGAAGAACTCGTATGATCCCTTCAAACCTATGAACTCAACCTAAAAATGTTAAATCCATAGCCATGAACACTGTTAGAGAAGAAGAGAGTGAGTCTACTGATACTGAGATGCTTAGGGATGACGAAATAGCTTATTTCGTTAAGAAATTACAGAAGGTTATGAGGAATAGGAGAAAGCCTCAAGAACAGAAAAATAAAGTTCCTAGTAGATTTTCAAATGATAAGCGTGAAAAGAATAACTCTAAGACTGCTAATAAGAAAATCCAATCTGTTAGATGTCATGAATGCCAGGGTTTCGGTCACTATAGGAATAAATGTCCTAATTTAAAGAAGAACTTGAATAACGGAAGGCGTAAGGCATTAGCAGTGACCTTGAGTGATGATGAATCAGATTCGAGTGTCAGAGTGATACCTCTGGTGGTGAAGATAAACAAAATTTCATAGCCTTCACATCTATAGCTACGATAGAATCCGATAAAGAAAGTGAAAAAGTTGAGATTGAAGAACATAGTGATAAGTCTGAGGGAGAGTATGAGGATGAGACTGATATTCACGAATCTTATCGTGAACTATTTGAGAAGAGTCTTAAAATAAAAAAGGTCAATAAAGTTGTTCTGAAAAAGATAATGAACTNCTGAAAATAGGCATGGTCTGGTTTACGTTTAAAATGGTAATGCTACTGCTAGTACATCCAAGACCACGTTCGTCTCGGCCACCGACGAAGCTCGAAATGCTGTTAATCCTGAACCCAAGGGCCCGAATGTCTTTGGATCAAGACCTACTAGACAACGTAGGTTCAATTGTCCTACATATC